GGCAGGGTGGGTGGGGGAGCTGGAGCCTTTACCTGCAGCTTCCACCCCGCCTCAGGCTCTGGTCCTGGTGAACAATAAGATCTCTAAGATACATGAGAAGGCCTTCAGCCCCCTGCGGAAGCTGCAGAAGCTGTACATCTCCAAGAACCACCTGGTGGAAATCCCTCCCAACCTGCCTAGCTCCCTGGTGGAGCTCCGCATCCATGACAACCACATCCGCAAGGTGCCCAAGGGGGTATTCAGCGGGCTGCGCAACATGAACTGCATTGGTGAGTGTGGCTCTGGCCAGGGACAGTCCTCACCCTAGTGGCTGGCAGGAAGGGTCAGGGAGCGGGACCTCTTCCAGCCAGAATGGGTCTCACAGAACATTCTGAAGCCTTGTCTAGGGGCATGCCCCAGAGCGACAAAAGCAAGGTGAAGAGAAACCAGAGGACTGTAGAGAAGGGGTAGGGAAAGGGCCAATGCCACCAGACAGCCAGCTGGGTCCTGCCATGGGCTCTCCCTTTCCTCCTGCAAGGACCAGTGCCCTTGGGGGCCAGTGGTCTTGAACAGCTAGGAGTTCAAATTAGTGGCTGCTTTCAGGGGGAGATGGGTAAGCAGGCAATTAGCAGGGTCCATCAGGCCAGCCCAAGCCAGGAAGCCAACAGGTCCCAGGGTATACGGGCAACAGCTCTGCTCTGGCTCTGGGGCTGAAGGGGCCTCTCTCCTAGAGATGGGCGGGAATCCCCTGGAAAACAGTGGCTTTGAACCTGGAGCCTTCGATGGCCTGAAGCTCAACTACCTGCGAATCTCTGAGGCCAAGCTCACTGGCATCCCCAAAGGTAGGAAATCAGCCCTTTCTTCCCACATTGGGCAGAGCTGGAGGTCTAGAGCTTTCTAAAGCCACCTGGTCTCCTTAGAGAGAGCTTTAGCAGGCCTCCCCAGCCCCCATACACAGCACCAGCCCACACACTCCTGCATTCATCTCAAAGCACCCCCCTTCCCGCAGACCTCCCTGAGACGCTGAACGAACTCCATCTGGACCACAACAAAATCCAGGCTATCGAGCTGGAGGATCTGCTCCGCTATTCCAAATTGTACAGGTGGGCTGGGGGCTGAGGCGGGTGACCCACCCCTCAGTCCTCTTCTTTTCTGGACACTCAGTACATCTCATTCATCCCTTTGAAGGCTGGGCCTGGGCCACAACCAGATCCGCATGATTGAGAATGGAAGCCTCAGTTTTCTGCCCACCCTGAGGGAGCTACACTTGGACAATAACAAGCTGCCCAAGGTGCCCGCTGGCCTTCCAGATCTCAAGCTACTCCAGGTGAGAGCTGGGGGGCTGGG